TTGAAGCCAAATTCTAAAATAGGACAGAACTCTCAACTGTAGAGAGATAGTGTCGCATGAATAAAAAGACGACCTCACATTCTCATATTATTAGAATGAAGCTTGTGAAATATACTATACTTATTCCTATCTACTCCACACGCTGTATGACCACGATTTCGCGCAAGCATCTATCATATAGGCGCCTCTAGTGCCTATTTTGCAGTGCATAGCACTCGTTCTGCGCAATAATACTTGACTTGCGACGAACTTCACACTAACGTATCGACCTTGCCAAATAACATCAGAGCAGACCTCAAAATAAATGACGATTAAATTCTAAGAAATTTTAGTATTCACAATCACATCTGATACACCATATATACAAGCGTGGACAAATGTAAAAACAATATATCAAATGCAAAACTAGTCGCAATATAAAAAAGAAAGAGAGCCTTAAGGAACCATCACAGAATATTGTCCGAATTCAATTAACTTTCTGTATATATCGATCACCTATCACTACTCAACTAAGAATAAGAAAAAAGTAACTAGAATCCAAGTAAACATAAACATACAAAAAACGTTAACTACGGTCTATGATATCATCGCCTATAACATAACGCCATGTCATGAGGATAAAGATTCTATCAAAGCGAGTTAGATAAATAGCGAAAACTTTATATAAAGACACGTGCAAAGCAGTTAATAGAAAGATTGCTACAAAAGTCTGCTCAAGAGTGCCAAACACAAGAGTTGCTTTAAATACCTCTGGGACACAGAGAGCAGGACTCCGTCCCGGAAACAGATGATTGCTCGACAACCGCATACCGGAGAGATTATCATAAGGAGTCCGGTCAGGCCATAAAATAACCGAGAGCGATCCAGCACAGCAAGGACTAACACAGAACGATATTCTAGAAATATCCATAGCAAGGGAAGCCGAAGCTTAAAACGGCGCTGAACCAGAGAAGAACCGACCATCATACCGGTCACGGTATTGAAACAACGAGAAAACGAAGTCTATCACAGAATCATAAATTTAGTCATGTTAGATAAAAGAATACATTCACAAGATATACTAATAGAGCATAATTACAAAATTATCAAATACACGCATAGAATTCTACCTCAACTACCCTCATACATAAGGCTATAATTTTACTCCAATGCATCAACGAACATATATCAACAGAAAAAAATCACCTACAAACTTCAGCAGGGCATAAATCTCGGAGACAAATACGACACCTTTCCAATTGAATATCGATAACATCGAGACAAGAACAAAAGAGGTAGCAAGGGACAGCTTTATGGATACGATTGAAACCTAGGATGGGGACTACAGAAAAGCAGATCCATCCAAGCTCTCGACAACGCGGAATGTTATCATATAGCATAGGTAAACTATTCGCGGGTCTTAGACGCAGTCACAATTTAAAAGAACATCAAACTTTCCATCAACACTTTTCTCTTCTATTGTATCAGAAGACCTATTATCATAATCTACTAGAGAAAAATAACAAAGAAATTTGTCAAAAAACCAATGACATTACAAAAGACACATATTATCTAACAGATTATAAAGTTTCGATGGCAATGGGAGGTTAACAATAGAGATACCTAAAGTCAGAAATATCTCCAGAATGCAAAACTAATCCTTCTGGTCCAGCAATTTCAAATCACTAAACATAAACCAAATCGACAAAATAATAGAGTAATCCAAATAACCAGTAGATAGAAGGAAAATAAGTATTGAAAAGAAAAAAACCCTTATTATTCATAGAGTTGTAAAAAAAGTTTGTAGTTCTAAAAATTAAATTACCGAGATATTTAAATGTCTAAACCAATACAAAACAGTAGAATATTGAACCAAATCCGGAACAGTAATAGATACGACAATTGAACTGAGAAAAGCATAGAAATCTAAAAATAGGTAAAAATGTTGGAAATAAGTACTCAAAAGCTTTGAAGAGATATAATATGGTTAGAGTGAAAATTCTATTACTATCATCACTAATAAATTCTCTTTGACGTATTTATCCATCATAGCTCAGTCTACAAATATCAATCCATTCTTTCATCGAAATAATAAAACTTGTCCAATCGGCCCGCTTCCTCACATAAATCTCTCGTTCACAACTTCTTCCATTCAATACCTCATTATAAACTGCGGATACGTAGACAAGAGGGAATTTAATCGTTTTATCCTGATAGGTTATAGTCAAATAGATTCTAGAAAATTAAATTATAAAGCTAAATGTACTATAATATTTGTGTAACGTAATCGAATTTAATACGATTGATCGATACTACCGTAGTTAATCCGGTATCGACACCTGAACCGACAGAATCATTTATCACAGCGAGAAAGTGAAACACACCCCTTGTTCCGGCTCGTTGTCCGGCCAAAAAATAATCCTGGTATCATTATATTCAATAAACCATAGACCAAAAACGATTGTACTATCTAGCAGAACAATAAATGAGATGCGCTATCTGCCACATAATTTACAAGCTCTCAGCTAATGCAATAAAGTTCAATGTAACAGCCTATCAACTCCTCTCTAGTAATTTTTAGCATCATCGATTTCTTTTTTTAGATCATCAATATAATCCATAATCTGTTGCCTTCACAAATCAAAGCTACGCAACAGAACATCTTATACAGCGTACTCAAACAATCTCAAATACGAAAACACGACACACTGTCCTACGCCGCGATAATGATAATCGCAAACTTCCACCAAAATAATGTTGGTTGACAGAGTTGTAGTCCTTCTTTCGCTCTGTTGAAAACACGCAAGCCAAGCTCCACTAAACGGAGAGCGAAGATCGAAGCTGAGAGATCATATATATATACCACACCAGAGAATAGAGCCACGGCCATACTTAACAGGCCCAAAAGAGCTTAACTCGTATATTTTTTACTGCTCACACGAATCGCCATCATGCACGCGGGAGGCCTTTCAGATTGACAGAGTTAGAGGGTGTCCATTCGCGGCCACATCAGACAATCAAATTAACACATCTTGTCCCTCAGCGAAGCCTCTTCCCAGAGTAAATGAACGTCACGGTTGGAACCACATGACGCCCCCTCAACCTTCAAAAAACACATACACAAACCCACCACCTAACCGCTACACGGCCGTTTCGAAACAGTAATACAACGCTAGTCGATTTATACATGTAACCCACACTCCCTTCAACACTGTATCTAGCGGATCACAGAAAGATCTCAAATCTCCTCACGACATCACGCTGTTATCACTGGTAGCACTTCCGCAGATTCTGTACCGCCATCTATAATGACATAGAGCTCCTCTCGACGGTATTCGATGCGGCTCTCAAAAGAGTATCCAATCTTTCCTACACTCTCAGATTTAGTAAATAGGCAGAATACCAATATGCAAGTATTATTAATTAAGATAGAATAAGTAAATACGTTGAAAGACCAACAGATCTAGTTGTTACGAAACACAATATCAGGATAACCAATTGTTGTCCCTTAAATCTAAAAATTTTCTTCGAAGACTCTAGTTTTGTCGCCGGGTGGAAGTCCTTCTCTTCAATGCAGACGGCATTTGATATTAGCAACGTAGACTGCGCGCGCGGTACAGTCTGTAGGAGTGGATGCTCCAGCGCTCAACTACTGCCGCTGGCCATATGGGAAAAAGAACCTTTGCATAGCCGGTACAAGGGAGGAACAGCGAACATAATACATCATAGAGGTAAACTAAAGAGATAGTAGCTATTCATATTATTAATCTATGGAGGTAATTATATTGTTTATGATGTAGTTCTTATCTTGCGAGCGTATCATTAGAGAATACTCCATTGCGACATCTGTTTAGTCACCACTATTATAAATGAAGACATTTGGAAGATGACAAAGGAGGGTCATGCAGAGGTGAAGAGAGCTGTAACTGATGAATGAGATATGAAGAGGATCATGTTTATGAGAACACTGCAAAACTCTATACGAAAGGTTAAAAAAGAGGCTTGCAAATCGCGCAAGTCAGTCTTGATCAACCTTTGGGCTGGTATAAAAAACGGTGAAGAAGAGTAGACAATCAAAATATAATATAACTTTATCGAAATTCCTATCACACGGCACAACTTCAATGTATAAAATTAGTTACACGCTTGAATGTTGGAATAGGAGTTCGTTCGGGAAGTAAATAGAAATATCTAAGCGCAAAATTCTAGAATTATTTAAGAGGTTTGAGTACTACATATGCGAAGTAACACCAATATTCAAATTGGGTCCAATGTTAATATCATGAGAAATAATGTTTTTCTCAATAGTGCATTAGCTCATATGTATGAAGACAAAACGAGATTACATACATATCTGATCAATACCGTCAACTATACAAAAGTATATTTTTGTACTCGAGCTATATTTCTAGAAACTCCAACAGAGTCTATTAAATTAATTATATCTACTGCATTTATCTCACACAATTCATTTATGCGAAAATAAGTCATATACTAATAGATGAGTGTGTATTATTTGCGCGCTACAGCTTTCTAATAATATTTTACATACAATTTTCAAACCTACTATAGCACTTGATATAGGAAAAGGCAGCTATTGTAAGGCGGTTTTGATAAAAAGAAATGCAGAGTAAGAACTATTAGGAATATTTGTTTGTATAGTTAAAGTTAATTTAGTATAGAAAATTCGACGAAAGTTTAAAGACTGTGGAAATAGTGGCTAGATCAAGATGAGTGAGAAGATGTGGGTGGAGCTCTACGAAGTGGCGATCTGAGAACAGCGCTATGCTTCGCTGTGATATAATATTTCCATATATTACATATGAATACAAATATGAGACAACACGATATGCATAGTTCTTCGACATGGACAACTACCATTGAAAATGTGATGATGAACCGTGAACCCCTCCTTGTTCCGGTTCGTTGTCCGGTCCGATTTTCAAAACCTTGATAAAAAACATAGATAAAGCGCATTTAAAAGTGCTTGGATGTCCAATTTTCCGCGTCCCGTGCAATAATTTGCCCCACCCTACGCTGCCTCTGCCTTTACTAATTTCCTGCTTGTCCCCGCTACCCGCTCCGCGATCCCCGCTCAAACATCTCGAAGCCGCCCGACCGCGAAGCCGTCGCTGTTCTCTCCTCTGCCCGACCAAGCCTGCCCACCGGGCGTAGCCGCTCTCTATTTCCACCGCGAATGTCCAGGCCATCTTGCTAAACACCGCTTACACTCCTGCTCCCTACGCAACCTTCGCCGTCGTTTTTCGCCGCCATCGCAGTAGTAATCTCCGTTCTTTCTACCCTCTCTCCTACTCTGTTCTAAATCCGCCACATGACGCCATCCTTCCTCATCACAACCCCACGCTACCGCTACGGCTGTCAGATATCTCTCATTTCTTCTCCCCTTCACTAGTTTCGGTCCAAATCTCAACTCTCAATAGCGTATCTGGCTGCCTCCGATCTTGTATCTTGCCTTCTATTTGACTATCGGCTTCTGGAACGGGCGAGCCTCTCAAAAGGTTCTCTCTCCAGCCCCGATTTGTAAATATGGCGATCCAAATGAGGAAAAAGTGGAAGGCAAGTAAAAACAGAGCCCTAGCTCTAGTTGGTCTGACATTCTGATCCCATTTGTTTATTTTATTATTTTCGACTATTGCCATGTTTTAGTTCGCCGAGGATGGAGTCTTCTTTGCTGAGCTTAGCCAAGTGCTCGCGCCGCATCATGCTGAAGTTGGATGCTCCAGCGTCAAGCTACGTGCGCTGGCCATTAGGAATAACATCGTTTTCCGTTCTAGGAGGACAGAGAATGCACTTGGTATTGGGATCAATCATTAATGCTGGGACAAATGTAGGCTTTTGATGGTTTTATTTTGATTTGATCTATTTGAGTTTTGTTTATCTTTTATGACCTTGAAGATGACAAAGGAGGGGATGATATGGGGATCGACTTCTGTGATTGGAAAGAGGTTCATGTTTTATGAGAACACTGCAAAACTCTATACGAAGAAGGTTAACAACAGAGGGCTTTGCAGAATCGCGCAAGTCCAGTTCTTGCCATTCAAGCCTCTTGGGGGGCTTGGTATTCAAAGGTGAATGCTCAATTTTTTTAATTATTACTTATGATTAGGACAATCTCTCAAAATTTAGTTACACATGCTAAATGGTTTAGGGTTGTTTACTTTAATAGTATTGGGATGTTCATGTTATTATGATGTTTTTGTATCTATCAATTACCATGTGTTTGGTTCAATTTTACCATACTAAAATGCCAGTGCTATCTTATATCAAAACACAACGAGATTTCTTCTGATATATTGTCACATGCAAAGTTATTTTTTTCCGCTTAGTTTGAACTAAAGTTAATTTACTTTATTATTCTTTTTTTTCACAAACCTTAAGCGAATGTATTCAAATTGGGTGTATTTTTTTGCATATGCTTATTTTACATTACATTCAAAATGCACTAAGGGGCTATTTGCTTTATTAAAAAATGAATGCAGAGTAAAAAGAATACTAATTTAGGAGATTATTTGTTTTGTAATTAGGTTTAAAGTTAATTTAGTGTAAAATTTGGCGATAGCAACAACGGAGGGCGGCAGTGGAGATGGTGGCGACAAGTGGCGATGGCAGCGGAGTTGGTGGGTAAATTCCAAATACATTGAAAATAAATAAGAAAAAGAATTTCATATTCTTCAATGGATTACTGTACATTTAATTTACTTCCCACCAAACACAATAAACTCAAAACACTTACATTTTTCTTACATTGCACCCATGATACTTGCAATCAAATAACCCCTAAACCGAATAATTCCTTTAGGCATTCTATTTGCTAATTCCATAGCCTACATATATAAGTTTGTCATTATTGCAAGAAAAATGTTCGAATAATAGAGGAAAAAAAGATGATGAAAAGAGGCTTAGTGATAGTATTAGGAAAGAAAAAAAGTAGATATTAAAATTGGTAAGACAAGAGATAAGAGATATAGAAATTTTGATCAAGTTAGACATTTTAGAAATGAAGATAATTGGATTTTAGCTAAAGATGAAGGTATTGAGGAAATATGAAAATGCTCATGGATAAATTAATAGATGAGCGTTTTAAGGAAGAGTTTAGTTTGGAACTACAACAAAAACATATGGGCTTAAAGCTGATCCTTGATGTAATCCAATTGAAATAGAAAAATACTTGGCCAATCCACCTTGTATTTGAACGTAAGTAACAACTCTTATATATATATATATATATATATATCCTTAATGACTTGCATATAAGTATTATTAACTCTCTCTTCTTCTAAAACTCTCTAGAGTACTTCTCTTAGAACTTTATCATATGTAGATCCTCCTTATTCGCTGTACTTTTCCATCAATTCTTTTAGCAAATATATAGCTTCCATAGTATACCAACCCATCATAAATTCAACTAATTTTGAGAAACATTAGTATTACATCATAACCTATGCTCTTTTACTCCGTACCATATTTTCAATGTATGACACATTAATTTAAATTTTTCTATAATTTGCACATTCTTGTGCATCACTTCTATTATTAAAAATAGGAATCAATATACTCATTAACCATTCATCTGAATTCTTTTTAGTCTTCAAATTAATATTAAAAATTTAGTTTGCTAAGAAATTTCTTTATCTTCTAAGCATTTATATACTTCTATTTGAATATCATAAGGTCATACTATTTTTTAATACTTCATTTTCTTTAAAGCCTCTTCAACTTCGAATTTACTAATAAATGATAAAATAAAAAAATATTTGGTTTCATTTAGGTCTAAGGCCCCTAAAATCATTAACCTTTATTGTCAAATTTATGGAAATATCTCACCACTTATGTTGAATATTTTCTTTTAAGAAAAACATTTTTTGTTTTTATTCTTAATACACTTTACATAAATTACATTTTTTTCTATTTTTTTGCTTTGCTAACTTATTACAAATATCTTTAGTCCTCCTTAATATCTAATCTATTATATAAATCAACATTAACAATAAATTCATGCCTTTATCCTACTAGTGGGGTCACTTACATGAATTAATTTTCTCCATTATATCATATTAAGAGTTAAATTCTTATTTTAATCTAATAAAAATGGTCATTGTTAATACTTCTAACCAATTCTTTTTAGGTTTATCTCTATCTTTCTTAGTATAGTTGGATCAATACATTTATCATATAAATCACTAAAAGTTAAATTTTTTGCATCATATATTACTTTTTTTTGAATCCCTATGGGCTCCTATGTACCTTTTCCAATTTTTTGAACTTTTGTATTTAAACCAATGTTTATAATAAATCTTCTTAGTTTTGATATTTTTTTAATATATTTTGATTCCACCACTAATTATTTTTATTATTAGGAGTTTTTCATTTTGATTCTCCAAGTATATATTTTACAACCTTCTTAATATCACTAAATACTTTTTCCTACATATCATTAGCTTTTTTATTAACAACCAAAATCTTAAAATCTTAAATCTTACTCACAAAAATATTTTTATTAGCATTTTTTAAATACACTATCTAATACTAAAATAATATTTTATTTTGTTTTTCATTTTACACTCCTTCATGTTAAAGTTCAAAACTAATAAGTGATGTTGGTACATAAAATTTTATTCGAAATGATTATAATTTTTGCAATCTAACTATCTATTTTCCTTATGAGAAAATAATCAATTTGAGTTTTATTATGTCCATTTTTATAACTATATGATTGATGTGTCTCATGACTTATTCTATTGATTTTGATGATAACAAATATATTCTTGGATATTTTAATTTGTGTTAAGTATTTTAGGTGCATTGACTGATAGATATGCAAGATGATTATTTATATGGGGTATACCTTGGAGAATCCAAGTTCGAGCAAAATTTGCATTAGCTGATAGATATGTAAGATGACTACTTATATGGGATATATCTTGTATAACCCAATTTTGAGCAAAATTAGTAAAACCTAAGATTGATAGGAGCTTTAGATATAATATTTTAGATTAAATTCATTCAAAAGTGTATTAGAGATCCATAGAAGTTTACTTGTATAGTTGTACGGTATGATTTGCTATATATATATATATATTAGGATTAATAAACTCATATTAAATATCAATAAAATTTCTTAATTAATTAATTATATGTTAATTTAGATATTTTTAAATACTTCATATATAACATAAAATTTGTCAAAATTATATAAAGATACTTAATTAGGATAATTAAAATTATAAGTATGTATGTTTGAAATTTTATTTATTATATTTAATATATACATTTCAAATTAAAATTCTTATAAATATTTACGAATAAAAGTGTTTTTATATAAATTGCATCATATTTTTTTGAATATTAAATATATTTTAAATAAATCTAAATATATTTAAATTTTTTTTAAATAAATATTACATAATAATTCCTGAGTTTTGGGTTGATCTTCATCAAGATCAAATTTTTATTTCATAGCTATTTTGATCTATTATTTATTTAATATAAATTAATTTTTTAATTAAATATTATATTATTATTTGATAAAATAATTTTAGTTCATTAGTTTTCTTTAAAATTAGCTTAAATTATAATTTTCTTATAAACACATCCCATTCTTTTTATGTAAGGGTTGCTATTAACTTGAAAATTTTAGCACCTTCTCTCTTCTTCCTTTCTTTTTATATAATATTTTGAGAGGAGAACATTAGATTTTCATTTTAAGTTCTCTACAATTTTATAAATCAAATTTTTAGTTCGGAAGCTTCAACATATTCATTTGAGCAACTTCTCTTAAAGTTCTCGAGTTCGTTTTCTATTTCTAAAATTTTCTTTGCTATTCCTTTGTATTGTTACCTTATAATTTTCTTATTTTTTTAATGAAATACTTGTTGAGCATCTTAGATTAAGTTTTATAGATTTAAAATTTTTTTCTCATCCGTAAAATTTTAAGCAAATCTTTTTAGTTTTGGCATAGATTTATATTTCAAATCTAATCCATTTTTAAAAGTATTATATGTACATGTTTAATTTAATATATTCACTTTATATAATTTAAGGAGTTATATTTTAAATAAAAAATAAACTAAATTTATGTGAAATTTTATTCATCTATATATATAAATATATAAATATATTTTACATCCCATTTATAAGTGGTGAGGTGATTATTAGTATTTCAAAAAATCACCTTAAATATTTTTTTTCTTTTATTGCAATTTAATTTGAGCTTGTATTATTTATAATAAGTTATTTTTTTTGTTAATATAAGCCATTTAACTTAGTGAAGTTCATATAGTAATTAGTCTGGGTTGTACTTTTGTAAGAGAGTTTTTAAGTTGTAAGTAATTTCTTTGATTTAAAAAAGTGAGGTTTGTAAGACAAACTTGTGATTAGTAGCTTTTAGCTCGAGAGTTGGCTGCTGTGGATGTATGTTGGATTGAAGTCTAGGTTGAACCACATAGAAATGTTGTGCCAACTATTTTCTTTACTTGCACTTGTTTTACTTTTTAGTTGTGAGACTTGTAATACTTTATGGCATAAAATATTAGTGATTAAAAGAGAAGCATAAAATTAACTGTTGTAGAGATGAGGGTGCTCAGGTGGATAAGTGGCTTTACACTTAAGAGTCATAATACAAAATATATATGAAAAGGTTGGAGTAGCTCCTGTGGCAAATAATATTAAAGAGATTCATCTTTAGATGGTTTGGTAACATAAAACGTCGGCCTTCCGATGACTTAAAGAGTAGATGTATTAGATCTGGCCTATGTTTAAAAATGTAGAAGTAAAGCTAAAAATACATTGTTAGAAACTATTATAAATGATATTTTTTATTAGATTTAAATGAGAACTCGATTCTTAATATGACACAACAGGAAAAAATGATTCATATAATCAACGTAATGATATAAAGGCTTGATTTTGTTATTGTTGTTACACCTGTGTACTTTATCATTTATTTTACTTGTAAAATATTAAAATTGTATGTTTGCTTGTTCTCTTGCCAATTAGTAGCAAAATTACTTGAATTACTTTTTTTAATCAAAAAATTTTTAAAACCATAATTTACCCCTCCTCTTACGGT